GGCCCACCCTCCAGCAGATAATTCTTTCTTTTGGAGGGGTCCCCTTCATATTAGTGGGCAAATTTAAGAATCTAGCTAGATTTTAGCTTTAAAAAAATGTTCCCTGACAAATTCATGTCTCCTCTTTTCTAGTCCGCAAAGAATGGGATATCCCCAACACTTACTTTTTAGCATTTCTATCTGGATACACTTATCTCACCTCAGAGATAATTCAGTGTGTCCAAAATTAAGAGAGATCCTTGTCTTGCCATGGGATTTATTCTCCAAACTTTGTAGTATTCTCTGCACCCAGGTACCCAGAATTGAAGTACTCACTCAAGATACGTCACATAACACATTTTCTGCACCTTCAACTCACCTTGTTAGGTGATTCCTCAAACATCCTTTGTATTAATGATTCCTATGGTTGCCACCCTAACCAGTGTCACAGTACCAAATACCTGGATAGACTGACTAATTCCTTCAACAAATATTTGTTGTGTGCCTACCAGGTGCTAGGCATCGTGCTAATGTGGGAATTTATAAGGATGAATAATGTACTCACTGCTCTGGGGGACCCAAAAGTCTAAAGGAGCAGACAGATAGCTAAAGAGATAGTCCACCATAGTTTGATTGTGAATGTTATGATAACCATAAGTGCAGGGAGTCTTGGGACCACAAAGGAAGGGCATTAGCTGTTGTCTCTCTTGACTTTAGTATTATCTGCATTCTAATCCATTCCATAGTCAGCTTATCTTCCTTAGTTATTGCTTTGTTCATGCTTGTTTTCTGATCAAAAACATGATTGCTCCTTAATCTGCCTCCCTTTAGTTTGTCTGTTCTCCCTATCACTTTTCTAATTTTATGTTCTGTGCCATCTTAAAGGGGACACTCTTTTCAATCCAGGCTCCTGGTACAGCCCTAGAAATATGCCATTTTTATTTTCAGTATGGTCTTCTATGAATGGCTTTTCTTTTTCTTTCCGCATCCATTTGTCAAAATCCTTGCTGTATTCTTAGGTTTATCTTAGTTCTCACCATTGTCTCAAAATCTGTTAAGCTTGTCTTTTTCATCTTCTTTCCTCAACCCTGTAAGCACTCAACTTATAATATAGCCTTACATTGTTAGTGTTATTTTGGTCTCTCCAAGGAAATTGTAAATTCTTTAGATCAGGCATCCCATTATATGATGTTTTTGTATCCTTCATAGAGGTTAGCACATGGTGAGCACAAAACTAACTGTTGAATTTCAGTAGTATGTAAGTAGGGCATTTCCCCCCAACGTTAAAAGGTGGTAGACATGAAATTATATTTTTCTGATTTAGTGGGAAAGTATGTCTTTTACCGAAAGTTAGAAATACTCTTATTTTGTATAAAAATGTAAAATCAAGACTCAGGAGGAAAAAGGGAAACCTATTTCATGACTTTTTTTTTTATTAGATTGTCCTAAATGCTTGATATACCAGAGGCAGTGGAAATAATACTTGGCATAAAAAATATGGGTTTAGACCAGCTCTCTCATTTAATGTGGAGCTCTGAGAAAAGCCCCAAAGCTGAGTCTAACTTCCTCATCTATAAAGTGTAATCTTATTCAAGGTTGTGGTGAATATTAAATAAAATAATGTATTTTATTTTGAATAAATATGGTATGTTTTATAAACTTCTAAGCAGTATGTAAATCTTGCATAGTTTACCTGTTGTGAGTTTGCATTTTACAAAAATATGGATTTTTGTATGGCACATTTTATGGTTCACTGATAGTAACTTCTCTGATAGTTCTAGGTCAGGCTGGCTTTGTTGCCTCTCCAGACAGATTTCTATCCTAACCAAGTAATGAGTGTGCTATGATAGAGGGCACTGGGGAGGGACACCTAACCCAGACCTGGGAGTTGTTGGGGCATGTTTCTAGGAGGATGTGCCATGACATCAATGTTTAGACCTGAAAAATGAGTAGTTAGCCTGGGAAGGGTATAAAGGTATGAGGGAGAGGACAAGGAGATGAGAAAATAGCTGTAATCTGGTAACAAGAACCTGCATCTGGTTGGCTCTGAAATGGAATCTTATACTGTACTTAGAACTGCTGAAGATGGGTATATGTGATAAGTATCATCTTTTTTGGTTTTAACTCTTTTATAGAAATGATCTTATAGTATCCCTTTATAGTAGTAGCAGAATAGAATTTATTTGTGGGGCATTAACATCTCTTCTTTCTTATCTAGCATAGACATATTTTACTTATTAGAGCCAGGGCAAGAACTGCTTTCTTTAGACATTGGTCCATTTTATTAATTGTGTTCTCTCTAGTTTAGAGTTACTCTGTAACTACCAGCTGGCTCCTTCATGTCTTTTTTGAAAACTATTAAGAGAACTGGACAATTAGTCTTGGAAGGGTTATTGTTTGCTTTTATCTATAAAAACATTTGCTCTGACATGGTTTCAGATATCTAAGATATGTTTACATGGTTATGTGGAAATACCTCATTTCTGCTTAGTTTAGCAAGAATGGGGAGAAATCTAGGGAAATGTTATAGTTGGAAGTTCCAGAATAGAGAGAGCATCCAGAATGGAACCTGGCACAAAAGAGACCCTCTATAGATAGCTGCTGGAAGAATGAATGTGCTGCACTGGTATAGGCAGAACATATTAAGAAAAGGGAATAGGATGAGAGTAAATGGAAAACTGTTAGGTTAGGGTCTATAAGCTGATGATTGCAAAGTAAGTCTCTGTGTAAGGAGGCAGGAGCCTAGATGTATAGTCTGCCACAACTATATGCTTTGCTAAAGGAGGCTTTGATACCAATTTTAACATCATGTATCAGAACTTAGTAAAAACCTCAATAAATTCATTCAATTTAGTACCCATAAACAAAAAATACTCCTACTATCCCCTGTGAACCATATGGAAGATCTGATGAATAGTTGACAGAGAGAGATCAGGCCCTGAAAAGTAGACCTACCCTCAGGTACTGAGCTAATGGAAGAAGATTAGGCAGGTGTGCAATGTTTGCCTCAAGACTTGTGCAAATGTTATTCCAAACTTGTAAGGAGAATAAGCTTTCAGCAGAGCACTATGCCATAGTAGTGTTTTTCTGCAATAATCTAAGAAGGTAATTGAGGAGAAGGATATAATTATTACCAGGGCTTTTAATGCCAGCAAATTCCATTGGTTTTGTAAATACATAGTGACTGTAACAATTACTTGTTGATTTTTTAAAGGAACTTTTTCTCCCTCTGTTTCCTACTCTGCTTTTCTACAAGATCATGATTTGCCAACTGTAGAACTCTTTTAGGATTCTCATGTTCAATGTTGGCAAAAAACTCTTATATATTGTAGAGTTCTGCCACCTCAAAGAGGGGAGGTCAAAAGAAATGTTGGTCAAGTATCTAGGGGAGCTTAGTCTGGGTTAGAAAGAAATGGGTGAGTTAAGAACTTTCAGGCTCTATAGCAATGGCATTGTGCTATCAGACCTAACTTCCCCTTATAAATATTTTGTAACATCCCCTGTAGTATGCTGAAATTTAATCCATACTAATATAACTTACTCTCATACATAACTCTAAAAATAATGCTTTCCCTTCTTGTAATATAAAGGAAAATTTTAAAAGAAGGTAATTTATAATGTTTCAATATATAAATGCTTAGGTGTGACTGTATTAGAAAACTTAATGAAATAGTGTAAATGCAGGGGCTACAGACGTGGGCTGATGTAGGTCTGTGGTATTGATAACTCATGAACCAGGAGTGCCACTGTGCTAGTGATCTGATTTTCCAAAGTGAAGTAACTCTTAACAAAGAGTATACACTTCCTTTTATTTTAGGGTGGGTACAGTACTGAAAATTATAATTTTTTACAATGCAAAATATGCTTTCTGTTTGTAAAACTATGACCAGAAATTTCCAGACACCTCATAAACAGTTGAAATGTCCCTAGGGGGCTGTACTGCTCTCTTTCCCACTTTGAGGACCACTGCTATGGAGATAACATAGTGTTCCAGTGTTTTATGTTAAGATAGGACTACTGAACAATTAGGGTATTTTTTAAAGTTTATTAAATGTATTGCTTTTTATTAAACATTTTTATTAGCAGTACTAGGTTTATTTTGAGCTATTTTTTCCCCTACCTGTCCTTTGAAACCAACTGGGTTTGTGAACCAATTGGTCATTGGTAGAGATACTCTATTAACAAAATTGTAATTCCTGGTGAAGTAAAGATCTGAGTGTAGCTAGAATAAAAATTGCTGGTGAATATGAAAGAAATATCAACGATTTTTTAAAAATTTAAATCTCCTTAAAAGACAATTGGCTGCTTAAGCAAACATAGTAACAATATATTATGTCGTTTCTAATTAATTTAAAAATAAAATGTGTAACAGTAGCTGCACAAAGAATAGATGGGGAAATGGAAGTATTATACCTGCAATGCCCTTACAATACACACGAAACAGGGATGATAGATTGTTGATTGAAGACCCTTGAAGATTGTTGAAACATGCACATTATAGATTGCAAGGCAAACGTGAAGAAAACCAAAAAGGTACAGCTAATAAAACAATAGAGGAGATAAAATAGAATCATAAGAAACACTCAGTCCATAAGAAATCACAAAAAAGAGTGAACAAAGTCATTCTCCTTGAAACATGGTCAGATATGTTCTGTGGGCTGGTTGCTTTTACTTTGTACTCCCAGATCTGTGAGTGAGAATGTGGTCTATATTTCTTTATATTCAAAAGTTCAGTGGCCTTTTTAAAAAACTCTTTTGTTTTGTTTTCATTGGGAGTCTTTTGCCCAGTACTCAGGATCTCTCCCACTTCTCCCACTCCACTACCTGTTTTACATCCCTCAGGTTCACTCTCTTCTCTTTGGCATTCCAGGGGGGGAAAAGGGTTAATGCTTGACTTTGTCACCGACTTCTGTACTTGCCAATCCAAGATGTTACATAATGAAGATAAAGGGGAATGACTGGTCTTTGGTTTTTTTGTGGTGTCTCAACATACCTTACCTTTTCTCTTCCCCTGAATTCAGAGACATGAAAAATGCCGTAATTGGAAACAACAAGCAGAAAGCCAACCTCATTGTTTTAGGAGCTGTTCCAAGGTATGTTTGGTATCATTTCCTTTTCTGCTGTTCATACTAATTCTAATGTATTTCTCATTCTTAACCATATGAATGATCTTTTTCTTGTATTGCCTATCCTATTTTTGGAAAGCCTCAAATTTTATGAGTTTCATGAAGCATTTGTAAGAAACAAAACAAGTCAAAGTACCAGAGAATGGACTATGAAGTGAATGTGTGAATACTTTTTAGAAATTCAAGATCATTGACCCTGCAATAAAAGAATGTGTCGCACCAACCTATTCATTCTTCCCTATCAACTCAGAGCCCTGGCAGTTTTTGTATGATTGGATAACAGTTCCTCAGGTTTCTCAAAATCCTTTTGTAAAGTAAAAGAGAGAGAAAGAGAGTTGGTTGGTTGGTTTTTTATTCTGCTTTTCTTTATTTGACTTCTAATAAGATTTACTGTTTTTTTTTTTAAGTTAACAGAAAGTTTATTTCTTCTGATGACCTAATAAGCTTCCTTTTGGTGGATAATGACTGTTGTATAACTTTCTATTTGCCTTTGCTACTCAAAACTAAGTTTTATATGCAGTTGTTATAAGATTTCATTTAGAATTTTTTAAAAATATATTTTATTGATTATGCTATTACAGTTGTCCCATTTTCCCCCCTTCACTCCCCTCCACCCTGTACACTCTCTCCCACCCATATCCCCCCTTTAGTCATGTCCATATGTCATACTTATAAGTTCTTTAGCTTCTACATTTCCCATAATATTCTTACCCTCCCCCTACTTTCAACCTACAATCTGTGCTACTTATTGTCTGTACCTTTTCCCCCTCTCTCCTCCTCCCACTCCCCTGTTGCTAACCCTCCATGTGATCTCCATTTCTGTGGTTCTGTTCCTGTTCTAGTTGTTTGCTTAGTTTCTTTTGGTTTTGCTTTAGGTGTGGTTGTTAATAATTGTGAGTTTGCTGTCCTTTTACTATACATGTTTTTTTCTTTATCTTCTTTTTCTTAGATAAGTCCCTTTAACATTTCATAAAATAAGGGCTTGGTGATGATGAACTCCTTTAACTTTGACCTTATCTGAGAAGCACTTTATCTGCCCTTCCATGCTAAATGAAAGCTTTGCTGGATAGAGTAATCTGGGATATAGGTCCTTGTCTTTCATGACTTGGAATACTTCTTTCCAGCCCCTTCTTGCCTACAAGGTCTCTTTTGAGAAATCAGCTGACAGTCTAATGGGAACTCCTTTGTAGGTGACTGTCCCCTTATCTCTTGCTGCTTCTAGGATTCTCTCCTTCATTTTTTACCTTGGCTAATGTAATTATGATGTGCCTTGGTGTGTTTCTTCTTGGGTCCAACTTCTTTGGGGCTCTCTGAGCTTCCTGGATTTCCTGGAAGTCTATTTCCTTTGCCAGAATGGGGAAGTTCTCCTTTATTATTTGTTCAAATACGTGTTCAATCTGTTGCTTTTTCCTCTTCCCCTTCTGGTACCCCCTATAATTTGGATGTTGGAATGTTTAAAGATGTCCTGGAGGTTCCTAAGCTTCTCCTCATTTTTTTTGAATTCTTATTTCTCCATTCTTTCCTGTTTGGTTGTTTTTTTTCTTCCTTCTGGTCCACTCTATTGTTTTGAGTCCCAGTTTCCTTCCCATCACTATTGGTTCTCCGTGCATCTTCCTTCATCTCTTTTATGGTAACCTGCATTTTTTCATCTAATTTGCGCCCCAAATCAACCAATTCTGTGAGCTTCCTGATCACCAGTCACCAGTGTTTTGAACTGTGCATCTGATAGATTGGCTATCTGTTGGTCGCTCAAAAGGATGAGTCCTGGGGCATTGATCTTTCTTCTGTTTGAGATATCTCCCTCCCTCCCTCTTTCTCTCTCCCTCTCTCTCTCTCTCTTGTTTTTTATTTGGGGGGGGTGTCTGGTCGCTCCCGTTATGGTGAGGGGCGGAGCCTTAGATGTTCACTGGGGCTGGGCACCCCAGTCGCTAGATTGTGACGTAGTATGTGGGGGCGGGGGCAGGAGGGAACAATGGCAGTAGCTCCGTCCTCCAGGGACCTCAGTTCCTTCTCTGGGATCCTGGGTTGCGCGCTCTGCCCTGGTCCACAATCGCAGCCTCACTGGGTCCGCCAACTGCCACTTGCCTACTCAGGGTCCACTCTCTGCAATCTTGCGCGCCCCAGATGCCTTATGCGCTCCCGGTTGCCTTATGTGCCCAGTTCTCCCTGTTCTCCGCACACCTCGACCGGCACCCGGCTGCTCCTCTCCACCCCTCCTACCAGTCTGTATGAACGGGTCTACTTCAACTTCCTGGCTGTCCGACTTCCATTTAGATAAATTCTCTGTCAGTTCTGGGTGTTATTCTGCCTCTAAATTGTTGTTGTTCTAATCTTGGTTGTGCGTGGAGGTACGGTGCGTCCACCTATGCCTCCATCTTGCTGGAAGTCCTCATTTAGAATTTTTAAATTCTAAATTTTAAATTCTACATTTTGGGGTTAGTTTCTGTTCTTTTTTTTATTTTTTGATATGGGATTAATGGTTGTATTGTTTTTATCATAACCAACTTCAGATACATACTTTGGTCATCATAAAGCAGTCAGTAGCCTTTTTTAGGGAATTAGTGTTCATTATATAAATATGCTTTAGGGAGCATGAGAGTTCTGTCTTAGAACAAGCGAAGTAGTCATAAGTGGTGGATGATTGGAATTTGGAGAGTAGTTATTTGTCAGGCTGGGCTGGAATGGAAATGGGAGGATCCCCTGATTCCCCAAATGGGAGAATTGGAGAAAGGAGAGAGCTTCCTGTGCTTGAAGAGCTGCACAGGGACTCTGAATAGTCCCTCTAGACTAGACCTCCGTGATCTCTGAACTATAGCTCTGGTTTTTTAAGGTCCATTTCTAGTCTGAATGGAAGACCCAGCAGCACTTGGCACTGGTTGTCTTCACATTCTGAAGTGGCAGGTACATGGACTTGTGATGTTGCTGTTTCTAGAGAGGCCACTTTGGACAGCTTTCAGATTTATAGTTCTGATAAACTCTTGAGAATATATGATAGTTCTTTTTGCTCGAAATGAAGAAAAATCTCTTTTAGATTTTCCCCAGATATTTCTTTAACTAACAGCTGATAAAACAAATGGCCATTTCCTACCCTTTATTAACTTATCAACCGTATTTTTAGCATATACGATGTTTTGGTAGCCTTTTTCTGTCACATTACTTTAAGCAAATTCACTTTTTTTTAGTCTCTTCTGTTTATCAAGTTCATTCTTTGTAGATTGTTGTACTTGCTTCAGCAAGAAACCTCAAGTACAGAGCTGAAAACTGAATGTGCAGTGGTATTGGGAAGTCTTGCTATGGGTACTGAAAACAACGTCAAGTCTCTACTAGATTGCCATATTATCCCTGCCTTACTGCAAGGTATGTAGGGAAGTCATTTTTATACAAGTAAAACTTAGAATCAGTTTGCAGTTTTAAATATGGGTTGAAAAGATAAGTCTTAAATCTATTTTCTATTAATAGGACTATTGTCCCCAGACCTGAAGTTCATTGAAGCTTGCCTCCGATGCCTGCGCACCATCTTCACCAGTCCCGTCACTCCAGAGGAGTTATTGTATACAGTGAGTTTTAGTTGTTATTGAATCATCTGTTACATTTCACTAACATCTGCTAATTTACTTAGCATCTCAAGACTCAACAATGTTATGTTATAAAAAATATCAAGAAGTATTTGAGTTCTTGCTAATTTGCAAATGTCAAATGATCTAGGCTTTGTAAAGAAATGAAAGATAGCCTCAGAACTTGGAGAATTTACAAGCTTGCTTTAAAAAAATAAAGACCCATTTTGATCTCTTAATATTACAAGTTAAGACAATTTATTTAATGCCAAATGAGTGATAGGGAGTTCTGCTCACTCTAGGCTAAATCCAGGTGAGAAAACTTTATAGAGAAGCTAGAATTTGACTTGGGTCTTGAATAATGGATAAGATTAAGAGAGTAAAGAGGCCAGTGTAAGAGAATATGCAGGATCGTGGGCAGGATAGTCTAATGCGGGAAGGGCATGAGTATTAGCTTCATTTGGAGAGATGAAGCAGAATCATTTTGCAAAAGGCTTACTTGCAAGGCTAGAATCACATGTGAGAGAATCCAAAGATCTTTGGAATCATTCAGTAGTTTTCACAAACCTCAGGGTTTATTGAGAGGAGAGTGTTTTTTATCTGTTGATAACTTGGGGCTTTCTTAATGAAAATTATCCAGACCAATATTTTTCAAATACTCTTATCCACAATCCACAGTAAGAAATATATTTTCCATTGCTACACTGTGCATATTGTGAATTTGGGTGTGAGATAGAGAGAATGTGAGCAAGAATCCTGAGGCAGTCTTCACAAAACAATTCCATAAATGTGATGCCCTCTGATTTCTATTATATCCTTTTTCATTTTTAAAACGTGCTGGTTGTGATTCTCTGAGCTAACACAAAGAATCAGAATGTCAAATCAGACACATACGAATCAGAGATTTTGCCGAGAATCATGCTTAACAAATATTTCAAGAACATAAGAAATCAAGAGGCAGAGGGAAACAATCAGGAAGAGGGGACATGTCACGTGGCTTCATAATCCATGATTCCCACATCAGACACATGTTCTTCTGGCTGGTATGATACATAAGTATTGTAAGGGAGATTTGTGAGCCACCTCACACAGCAGAGAGGCTCTAAATGATGAAACACCTTAATTTTATACCTCAGGGATTTGTGTGACATTCTTCAGGGAGCCATGCCTCATAAATCTGTAAATCGTTTACTACAGTGGTTCTCAAACTGGAACATGCACCAGAATTGCCTGGAGGGCTTGTTAAGCATAGATTGCCGGACCTTACCTGTAGAGTTTCTGATTCACTAAGTCTGGGGTGGAGCCCGAGAATTTGGATTTCTAACAAGTTTTCAGGTAGCTTAGATGCTGCTAGTCCTTGGACCACTCTTTGAGAACCACTGATACTGTAAGCAGTTATAAATTGGAAACATTCTCCTCAAAGCATTCCACAGGACTCTCCTGGTAAATATCAGTTTGTCTTCCTAAGTTCCTGTTGTCTTGTTTACAAAGAGGTTGAACAGCCACTGGTCTTTACCCTAGAACAGGGTTTTTAGCCCATGTGCCACAAGAGGCACATAGATGTGCCTCAAGAATTTTTAAAACATGCAATTCTGAACAAACTGTTCATAGGGGCTATTTCATAGGGGCACTGACCTCTTCTTCCTTAGATTGTCAAATAAAAAAATGACAGCCAACACAACAGTAGTCATCTAGTGTGAATGAATCTAAATTATACCTATTTTTGGGGTGTGCTGTGGAATTTTAGTGTTTAGTTTCTGTGTGCCATGAGATGAAAAAGGTTGAAAATTACTCCCCTAGACATTTCCTCTAAACCCCCAACCCAATAATAGAGAGAGAAATTTATCCTGCTAGCCGTTTTAACTTCTTCCTCCTCACACTCTAAACTGATTCCATAACTTACTGATGAATCATGGCGCATAACTTGGAAGACTCTGGCTGACGCCAGCTTAACTTTTTAACATGAGAAAAATTAAGACTCGGGGACATTGAATGACTTTCACAGTAAGATCATGTAAATTATGAAACATCTCAATTTTTTTCCTTCCCTTTTTTATTTTTTTATTTTATTTATTTATTTTTTAGAGAGGGAAGGAAGGGAGAGAGAGAGAGAGAGAGAGAGAGAGAAAAACATCAATGTGCGGTTGCTGGTGGTTATGGCCTGCAACCCAGGAATGTACCCTGGCTGGGAATCGAACCTGGGACACTTTGGTTCCCAGCCTGCGCTCAATCCACTGAGCTATGCCAGCCAGGGCTTCCTTCCCTTTTTTTTCTAGTTTTTTTTTATCCCCACTCAAGGATATATTTACTAATTTTAGAGCAAGAGGAGGGGGTGAGGGAGAGAATGAGTGAGAGAGAGAAACATTGATTGGTAGCCTCCCTTACACACCCCGACCAGGAATTGAACCTGTAACCTAGGTATGTGCCCTGACCAGAGATCAAACCCACAACCTTTTGGTGCAAGGGCTGACGCTCAACCAACTGAGCAACCCTGCCAAGGCAAAGCCTCTGAATTTTATGCCTCAGAGACAATGGGGAATCCATGGAAAGTGTTGGGTAGAATAATGACAGCGAGTATTGTTTTCAGTGTAATTAACTGCCACCTGTGAGTTGAATATTGAAGAGGTCGGCTGCGTGGTAACTCAGGCACTAAACTGAAGACAGCAGTTGAATTGGAAAAGGGCAGGATGTCTAGTTTGAGATTCCATTTATCCAGTGGGAAAATATTTTATTTATTTATTATAACTATTCTTTTTCTGTTTACTCAACTATAAACTTCAAATATATAACAGAATGGGCAGAAAGTGGGCCAGGTGTGAAGAATAGGACAGGGGTTGTTGTAACAGGAAAACTGAGAGATAAGAGAGCAATGAAGGAAAGGAAGTGGTTTTAGGAGCCTAATAGAGGCTTTTTTTTATCTTCCTCTAGATTGCCTGATCTATCTTAGCTGCTACCTACATCCCCGTCTTCTGCTTCCAGCCCCCGTATTCTCTCTTCCTTTTCTTTCTTTAAAAAGATTTTGTTTACTTTTAGAGAGGGGAAAGGGAGGGTGAGAAACATTGATATGTCAGAGAATTGTTGATCAATTGCCTCTTGCACACCCCCAGCCGGGGACCTGGCCCATAATACAGCCATGTGCCCTGATGGGGAATTGAACTGGTGACTTACCGGTTCGTAGGATGATATCCAACCCACTGAGCCACATCTGTTAGGGCACTTTTTCTCTTCTTTCTATGCATTTAGTACCTGACTTTCTTTGAGGTTTTCTAAGTTTTTCTTTGTTTTTAAACTGCTTGTGGCAACACAGAAGAGTATACTAACAAGGAAAGGGGGAAAATTCTACTTGGGAATTGACAGCCTTTTTTTCTATTTAGTTTTTATATAGCTTGGACATTCTTTTCTTTCTCAGAGAAACCCCAAATCTTGTTCATCCCAACAGTGTTATTCTTTTAAGTTTCCATCCTTGCCTTCTGTTTTCTTTTCTTTTTTTATATTTTATTTATTTATTTTTAGAGAGGGGGGAAAGGAGGGAGAAAGAGAGGGGAAACATCAGTGTGCGGTTGCCTCTTGAGTGCCCCCTACTGAGGATCTGGCCTGCAACCCAGGCATGTGCCCAAGATTGGGAATCAAACCAGCTACCCTTTGGTTCACAGGCCGGCACTCAGTCCACTGAGCCACACCAGCCAGGGCTGCCTTCTGTTTTCTTTTGTCAAAGTGTGGTCTATGGACCAGCCATATTGGCCTCATTTGGGAGCTAGTTATAATGCATGGTCTTAGGTCCTAAGAGTCATAATGTGCACACAAAAAGAGTCATAATGTGCACACAAAAAATATCTTCTTGGAATTTGCACGCACATTTGTACTTGAGAAGCATAGCTCTAGGACTCTTGATAGCATTGGTAAGGATGCTTGAGCATAGTCTACTTTCCACCTCTGGTTCATTTCAAATCTCCTTTCAATTTTTCATTTCTTTTGCATTCTGAGAAAAGAAAAAGATTCTTGAGAAACTTGCAGCAAGTTGGGTGGATTCTTCTTTTCTTCTGTACCATCATGTATGTTGTTAAGTGTCAACAACAGATGGAGTGTATGCTATAAGAGAAGTTGCTGTTGTGAAGATTGAAATTAGCTAACTATAGTCATTATGAGAGATTGTTACTGATCACTGATACTTATCATAACGTCTCAGAGATCATAATTGCCAAGTTTTATTTTTATACACTGATTCCTCCCTAGAAGCTATCTATTATTGTATATCTTACTAGTTACCTCACATTTGGTTTCAGGACAGATTTCTGTCAAGTCTTACTAAAATGATTTTGTTTTATTGTGGGATATAGACTATTTATGGGAAAGAAATTGAGAATTTTCTGTTCTTCTTGAGGTTAAATATTAAAGCTCTTTTCCTTTTTCTTTGTCCAGACAGTTTTGATGGCCATGTTGCTTTTGTTTTCCTGTGTTCCTTAAGCAGACTTGATTTACTGACATTAAGAGGCTTGCACAGTACCTGTTCATGGAAATAGTGTGTTAGATGTACTCCACAGTGTCTAAGTTCCTTGTTGCTGTGCTCTCCTTCCCTTCAACTCCAGGATGCTACGGTGATACCACACCTCATGGCACTGCTTAGCAGGTCCCGCTACACCCAGGAGTACATCTGTCAGATCTTCTCGCACTGCTGTAAAGTAAGAACTGGAATAAATATTCTCTGTAATGTAAAACTTTATACGCCTTCAGGAGATGTGCCTTCTTTGTGTATCCTGTCAGAGATAATCTATCTATACATATAAGCAGACTATATATTTGTCTCCTTCCCCCTTTTTTGACATAAAGTATACCATACATACTTTCTGCACCTTGCACTTTTTACTTAACATATTTTAAAGGCTGTTGCATATCAGTACATAAGGATCTCCCTCATTCATTTTTTATAAACAGCCATCTATATTTTACTGTATAGATATACAATAATTTATTCAACCAGTCCTTTGTTGTTGGACATTTAGCTTGTTTCCTGTCTTATATTATTACAAAACAATACCTTGTATGTAAGGTATTTTATAAGAAATGGAATTGCTGAGTCAAAGAGTGTGTGCATTTGTAACTTTACCATGTGTTAATCTTATACAGAGGTTGTACCGTTTTATACTCCTACCAGCAGTGTATGAGGGTTTCCCCACCCCTTCAGTTTCCACATTGTTGGAAATCATTTTAAGTGATCTCATACAAGGAGAACTGGGAGGTTCTTCTGCTTTTTGTTGAGGAAATTTCTGTTATTAAAAGGCCCTGAACCCAACCAGAAGAGTGCTGTGAGGCGCTAAGGTATATTCTGCTTCATGGTTTGTTTACACTTGTTATTCTTTTGCTAGCAGTGGGTGATTATTTAAGATCTTTCATAATTCTACACATTTTCTAGCTTCTAACCAAATAGTTTATCATCTGAAGATTCTGTAAGTCATTCAAGACATTACTCACTTATCATTTAGAATCCAAATACAAAATGAGGAGTTTGAGGAACTATAAGAGAGAAGGGAAAGAGAAGTGAACGCCTATATATACTAAACTAGGAATATTACAGTTCACATTTTAGAAGTTTCCCAGATAAATGAAAATTAAATAATTTTGTTCCAGAAAAATTATCTATTGATTGTAATTTAAATGTTTAAACCACTTCTCAAATCTTAGAGGAATATCACAGCCTATGCAATTCTGTTTAAGATATTTAGAATTTAAGATTTTTGTCAAAAAATTTTTTAGGTTTCTCCTCTCAGATTGCTCTGACTCAGAGGACTGAGGATATCAGACGATCCCTTAATCTTTTGAGGTGGACAAAGAAAGGCTTTGAGAAAACATCATTTTTATTGCAATTCATTTACTGAAAATGAGGCAAATTTAACAGGGTCTAGAATCTTCCAGCAATGAAATGATGTCTTGTAGCCAGTACTGGCAGGTAGAAAAGGATATTCCAGAATTCTGTGCATCATTAAAAATCTTTGAGCATCTATACCTGAGTGCTTGAGAATACAGCATCTACTAGTTATAACTATAGCAACCCCAAAAGGGCACTGAAAATTGGACCTGAATGTATATATAACTACTACATGTCAAATTATGTTAAATTATGAGAAGTGTGAAAAATCCCATTCCTGAAGTTACCCAAATCACTTTTAGAATTATTCATTAGAAACTTCTCATCACTTCTTGGCTCACTCATCTGAAACTTATCAGTGCTGTTTTAGCTGAAATCAGAGATAAAGGAATACCATTAAATCACAAGTTCTTGTGCTAGAGAAAACTTATGCTGAGCAGGAATTTAGAGGCACCCTTATGGCGCTAACAGAACTAAAGATAACAGAGAAATTCATCTTAACTCAGCTTGCTTTTAGCCTGATAAGAGCATTTGCCACTGTAATTAAATGACCAAATTCAAGTATTCTGAGATATAACTAGACCTCAGGAGACATTATGGCATTTATAAACCCAGTGACAATAGAAATAGCCTAAAATACAATATTAATTTCTCTACTGAGATACTAACAATATGTCTTGGAAAACAACTGATCTGATGATTTCTATATTGTCATTATTATAAAAACATGTTATTTTCTTTTTCAGTTTACATATAAGATTCATAATAGAGTTTTAAGACTCACTCATGAATTTACATATACTGATATCATTATTAAATAGATTTACATAGTTTGGGGAGAGGAGACAGAAAAAGAGAAAAGATTACTAAAGTGTTTGTGTGATAAGTTAATCATAATTTTATCTTTGAAATTTTCTCTCCCTGATTTATTAAGAAGCAAAAAAGGCTAGTAATAATATTAAGTGGAGCTCTAACTTCTAAATTGTCATTTCTTAAGCAGTTACTCAAATTTCTGACACTTGTCTTTTGGAGTTTTAGATCACAAGGGCTTATGTGCCTCATACCCTGTGAGTGCTGCCTTCATAACCCTAGATTCATACAGGTTGATTTGGAGAGGCTAGAGAAACTTGCTAAGAATCAAACAACAGCTCCTCCTTTCTAGTTGCTGCAGCCACTAATTTCTTCCTTGCAGTTGTTTTTACACAATCCTTTGTAAGGCCACAAAGAGGAGGAAGAGCTTAAGTAACAAATATTTGCTGCAATCTTTGGGGCAAAGAATTTGGGGGATTAAAAAAGTATAGTTCATCTTGTTAGCAGTAGGGAACAGTTTTGTTCAGAGAATTGCATTGTGCTTGACCTTGTCATCATTTATAAATATAACTCCATCAGTAAAGATATTCCATAAGTGATCCAGCTCTCAGAGGGAAGAGAAGATGCTTGCACATGGATATTCATTGACATGATGTTTGTAATAGTAAAAAACCGAAAACAATCTAAGTGTCTCACTACAGAGTACTAAAGTATGGGGCATTCATACAATGGAATAAAGCCCAAAAAAAAGAAAAAGAAAGAAATGGGAAAGCTCTTTATGTACTGATATGAATGCTCTCTGAGATATTTTATAAGAAAAAGTAAAAGAAATAAAAGGTTTAGGGCAATATATATAATTTATATAGTACTATATATATAAATACTTTATAGTATACATAAACACATATAGTATTCTATCATTTGGATTAAAATGGGAAAGAATATACTTATGTACTTGTTTGTATATGTATAAAATATCTTGACAAATATAAAAATCTATTAATATTAAATCATCTCAAAGCAGGGGAACAGATTGGCTGAATACAGAGGTAGAAAAACAATGATGTGCAAGGGGCAGAGGAACACCCTGCCTACTTAGCTATTTTATAGGCACTGCCAGTTATTAAATTGGGATGTTAAAATTTATAAGGAAGGCAAAATAATTTTAGTATTTTGACATGTCAGCCAAGGCTAATTTAGGCTCATCTTCACAGTTTATTCTACTTACTTGCTTGTTACTAGGTAAGAAAACAATGGCTCAGATTCTTAAGAGACCCTTCTTTTCCTTGGTTTCCCCATTACAGTCTCCACCACTACCTTTCTGTTTTCTATTAATTTTATTGTATTTTTTCCATTACCATTTACAGCTCCCCCCATTCCCTACTCTTACCTCCATCCCTTCTCTCCTTCTGTGATTACCACACTGTTGTCCACACTCATGAGTTTTTTCTTTCTTTTTTCTTAGTTGCTTGACCCTTCATCCCCTCTTTGCCACTTCCCCCAGAACGGGTCAGCCTGCTTTCTCTCTCTGAGTCTGCCTCTATTTTGCATCCACCACTGTGTTTATAATGAATCAGCCAGATTCTCCAGTGTTTCAAATGAGACAGTTCAAAATAAAGCATTTAGACCAGTACCCAGCACATAGCAAGTAAATAAGTACCTATAATTATAATTGTGGGTGCATGGATGAGAATGAGAGTGGGAAGACAGAGCACACTTTCAGCATGTGTCCTAAGAATGGCAGTATTTTCAATTATAAGGGCAAATTTGTAGTATTCTGAACGGATGTATAGTAATAAATATATCAAGCAATTGTACTGTGAGAATTTATCCTCATTCCCTAACGATCTTCACTGAGATACAGCTTTAATAAAAGTCAACAAAACATTGTTTATAATAGTAAGATATTAGAAACTACCTAAAATATGTAATTGGGGTTTGTCTAAGTAAACCATGGAATATCATACACTGATTAAAAATAAGAAATTAGAAGTTAGAAATACATAGAAATTAAGAGACAGATTGCTGAAGTTTTTTTAAAAGGACTCTTTTAATAGTACGTAAAATATTTAGAGGATTATTATTCATAAAATAGAATATGGCTGTTTTGTTATTCAGAAGTATGAGTGCTAATCTCCTCATTTCAAATGATGGGTATTTTGGTCTAAGAAGGAATGAGCACCTTACAATAGTTGTTACTTGGCTGAATAGTGGGTTGGAGAAATTGGTCTGAGAGCTTTTTCCAGAGTAGTATCTGGTTTCCTGTGTAAACCCAAACACATAGTCTAATTTCAGAGCTACATTTTTCTTTTCTGAAGAATGGTAAGCATGACATACCGCCCTTGTCCTGGTTTTAATTGACTTTTCATTATTTTGAGTGGGTGGAACATAAAATCGGTGAATAAAAACTGAGGCAAATTTGAAGCCTTTCTTTAATCTTTAGCTTCTGCCACTTTAAAGACCTTCAGTAAATTGATTAGTAGAAAACAGTTGATGAAAAATAAAATACCTGAATTTTTCTGTTATGTACTTATCTACCCTAAGAAGTGGTAATTTTAAGAAGAGAAATGAGATAGAAAGAGAAACCAAAACATGCTGTTCACTTTTCAGTTATGGAGTATTGTGTTTCCTGCCATCCATTGCTCAAACTGCCTGATGTGTTGAGATTGGTTAGTCCCTGTTACAGTTCCTTTTGCAATTATTTAGTTTTAGAAATCTCCTCACTAGTTCATCAGCCTTATGTTGTAGGAAAGACTACCATTGTGGGTGAGGGTGTGCACATGAAATGCAGAATTCATAGTTCTGTTGCTGTGATAGCATCTATTTAAGAATTGCAAAGGACCTGTACCAGAATAGCTTCTGTGCCCCCTTGTTAGGAGGAGGGAAGGAGGCAATAATTTTACATAATGAGGATGAAGTAGGATATGGCAGCCCCTTGCAAGACTAAAAAATAGTGTCTACCTTCCTTTTTGGGGAATGCGTTTATGCAAGAGAAGGAAGGGTAACTGAGAATTCTGCCTTGAATTGAGTATGGTTTTCTACATTTAAGTAAATGTTTTATTGGAGTGAATCATTGCTCTTTTTAATGTGTTACTGTATTCTCTTTTCTTATAGGGTCCAGATCATCAAACAATTTTATTTAACCATGGTGCAGTTCAAAATATTGCTCACCTACTAACCTCAGTATCTTACAAAGTAAGATGTTAAACATTATGTCCAGGTTTTTATACTTTATATGATTTCTAGAATATTGCTCTAGAAAATTACGTATTTTATTCCTTGATAGATATTGTGATCAGTATTGTCTTTCCTTTTTTTTTTTTCCAGTATATGGTTGTGGCATGAGTTGCTATTGATTTTCACCTGTGATCATTAATAATCTCTTCCACTTAGGTGTCTGTGCCAAAGCTGGTGCCTTGAAGTATATTGGAGCAATGGCTTGCTATGTCAGGAAAGACTTTGGATTTCATATTTGAGGTGTTTATTTAGCCATAGTGACTCACTCAATCTTATAGCACATATGCATCATATATATCAACATAAAATATATTGTTTTGTATTTTGAGTTAAAAAGTCAAGAATTTTCAGATTTTTTAATTAAAATTTTTACTGTGTTTTTTTATATATAGGTAAGTATCATCATGATATATTATCAAACATTTAGGTAAAAGTTGAGACATTTCATTGTTGTTCAACTAGCAAATTATAGCAAACATTAGGACATTGTCCTTATTGTGTCACATTAGAGCTGGGTATACCAGGAGTTTCCTGCAGAGCAGAGAAGTCGTCATTTTGTCTTCTCTCCACTTGTACTGATTCTGGTTTGCTCTTTTGGTCCTTAGCTTTATTACAGCCTGCTACTGTGTGTATGTTGTCCCTACCTCAGATGCCCAAAGTTTGCTCTTGGTGAAGAGCTCACAAGGATAGGAGTATTGCCCAAGCAAGGGACATGTTTCTTTACACCTTGTCTACCTGTCCTGTCAGTCCCACGTTTCACATAAGAATATCAAATATGGACTCAGCTGAGGAAGTGAGGATTAGGTCATTTGGTGCAAACTGAACAGAAAGGCTAAAAAAATAACAGCTCTCATAGGATCCCCAGCAGATTGTAAAATATGTTGTCTATGGCCAAGAGTTTGGGCCCTTGGTATCATTCCAGACCTGACCAGACCTGGTTTTGAGGGATGGTAACACAATTTATAGATGTTTTAGATAAAAGTTAAATTAGTTTAGTTCTTTTCAGACTTTGTTGTAACTTCGTTTCTTTTTTTCCTCATCCCCATCCCATATACAACTATGAGTACTCTTTTTTTTCCTCCTTCAGTTCTGTCTTTTGTAGTTTTAGAAGAAATGTCCCACTTGAAAGGCAGTTGGTAATTGTTATTAAGTTCCCTTTGCTTTACCAACATTGTATTTTGTACAGCGTTCTTTTAAATTTGATTAGGGATTTACCTAGTTCAATTTTAGTGCTACTTTACTGCTTTTACTTTTTCATTACTTCAAAATTAATTTGAACTTACTGTGCTCTTCAGATATACCAATCTTATTTCTATTCCCTTTAGCCCTTCCTTTAGTACTCTAGCAGATTTAAATAGTTATTTCTTCAGAAGAGTTTAGATTATGAGACATTAAAATCCATATTTACAAAATTTAAATAAAGTGTTCATTTACTTTTACAGGTTCGAATGCAAGCACTGAAATGCTTCTCAGTTTTAGCTTTTGAAAACCCCCAGGTATCGATGACCCTGGTAAATGGTAGGCTGGTACTTTCAGTGGCACCTACATGATTTAATTTGTAAACTTTGTAGATTTTAAGAATTCCTTAATTCTTGTTGTTTGTTTTATTTCTAGTTTTGGTTGATGGAGAATTGTTACCACAAATTTTTGTGAAGATGTTACAGAGGGATAAGCCTATTGAGATGCAACTCACATCAGCAAAATGGTAAAAGTCAAGACAATGTGGGAAGAAAGATAGGATTTTATCAATATCTTAGAGAATTTTTGGACAGATTGATTAGTTCACTTTCAATCCCTGTCTTGTTTAGGGATTTTGAAATTTGAAAGTCGTGGAGTTGTCTCACATTTCCTTAAGTGGATGTGAGTTTTTACTTCATTTACTCAGTAGTGTGCAGAACAGGAATTCTCCTATAACATTTAAGACCGTCTACAGAAAATTACTTTATTATATTCTCCTTCTGTATTTCAGTTGAAATAATACAGAATTAGATGAGAAGTAACCAACACATATTATGCTAAATATTAAAAGTATTAAGCCATGAAAATGTAAAGATACAGAAATATGGAGTAAGAATTAATTGACATTGATATCCAAGGCATGGTTTCAGAGAATTCCATTTCCTCATTTTAGAAGAAACAAAACAAAAAAATCCTCATAGAGATGTAAGAGTTTATAAGATAGTTACACAAAGTTCTTACTAGCATAACTCCTGGCTCATATAAGCCTTCAGTGCTTGCTAATTCTGCAGTTATCAGTACATTAACAGATAAGTTGAACACCTGTTGTTTAAGGTTCTGTGCTAAATGAATGATTTTGTTTCAACATTTAAGAAGCTGTGGCTCTAATATTTTGGTAAGAATGAGGAATTTTTAGCAAATTACTTATGAACCATGAATTGTTTTTATTTTATGATTTTATATTGTATTTTTTGTTTGTTGGATTCTTTTGAGTATTTGATTCTTTGTTAGTAAAGTAGTGCTGTCATGGAACTGACCTAAAAAATCAGTGGGGTAACACACCGTAAGATTATGGTAATAGCTCTAAAGAATTCAACCCTCTATAATATAGGTAAAGAATTTTTATTGATTTGTTTATTGCATTCCCTAGAAGCCAGGACATTTTCTTTTGTTTGTTTGTTTTTGTTTTTTCCACCCAGCTTACTAAAGGAATCTAATTGAAAAAGGAAATTCATAAATTAAGTTTCTGAAGTGCTTAATGTTTATTACCTATTTAAGGAGTGCAAAGTAATTGTATGCTTATTCAAAGCCAGATATAATTGTGAAGGTAAATTGCTTTTCAGTAGAACCAAATCATTGGCTAATTTTTAAAGCCACTACTGGTAACTTCTGAATAGTTAGTTAATTTCTTATGGATACCTATACATGTTAAAAGTTAAATGCTTCTTCTGTGATACTTTTGCTGTTGAAGTTGGAACATCTCAACTTCTTTTAAACTTACTTTGTTAGCTTTATATTTTAATGTTTTTCCTTTTTATTATGAAAAAATTAAAACATAAAAATGTATAGAGAAAAGTATAAAGAACTCTAAGGTGCCCAGCACCTAGCTTCAAAATTTATTCTCCTATTAGGCCATTTATTTAAAAACAATTTTGTAGTTTATTTGTTTTTTTAATTTCTGGCTTACTGGCTGTATATCAGTTAGTTTTCTTTGACTGTTAACTTAACAGAACCTCAGATAAGAGAATGTCAAAACCTCCCTCAAAGTAAATGAGAGTAATTGTCCCATTTTTGGCCCATAAAATCTTAAAGGCAAGTAATTTTCCTTTTAAAGCTTTAAAACACAAGAGAAAACTAACTTTCTGCCATCTTATTCCAGTTTAACTTACATGTGTAGAGCTGGCGCAATTCGGACAGATGACAACTGTATTGTATTGAAGGTGAGCTAATTAATTCTCTATAAGCATGTGAAAATTATCCAATCATATAAATGTTGAAAATAAGTTTTGGCATTCCTTTTTTTTAACACATTTGTCACTATGATATGTATACATAGAATAAAATAATAGTAAACACCATGCCTTTACTTTTCAATGAAATACCATGTAGTTTTTTAAAATTAGTTTTAGATATGTTTTGAAGGTCAAAATGAAATAATTATTTCCTTGTCATACCTTTTTCATTTTTATGATAATAAGGAGGATGTAAAAATTGTAAAAATATGTAAAATTCAGGTGAAACAGAAAATATATTTTACCCTTAATTTTCATTGTTTTGTAGGAAATAGTTCACTAGCTTTGTAGATAAAGACTTTATATCACCTTAATGGCAGATTAATCAAAAGGCATAATGAGAAAGAATAAATAAATAACACATGAATAAAATTATTATTATTGATGTCCAAATCATCTAGAAGTCAAAAATACCTAGATACAAAACTAGCCCTAAAAGTCCCAAGACGTGGAATCTGATTTTCGCCCTGCCACCACTGCTTAGCTTGATAACCTTGGGCATGCCCCTTATTATTTTGGTGCTTCAGACTCCTAATTGTGAAAATGGAGGCAACAACTCCTGCTCATCTTTCCTACAGGGTTCTTGTGAGAATAACAATATTTTAAACATATTAAATGTCTTACTTGCTAGAAAGAACAAAACAATTATAAATAAATAGATTATGTGTCATTTTATGAATGTGGGATCTCTCACTATCAGCATTCAAAATTAACCCAAGGGTAAAAAAAGATCAATGTGTGCTTTAGTAAACAATTCTGCATACAGTGCTAAGCACTTCTTTGCAAGGACCTTGGTTTATTTTCTTAACTGCTTTACTTGTCCTTTTCTTCCTCAGTGGTCAACTAGGTTAATAGTATCTTCTTTGTGTAGTAGTCATGAGCATGAAATTCAGTAATCCCATAATTTCTGGTATTGATAAACGTTAGTAACTGTTCAAAAGAAAATAAGAATAAGGCTTCCTCTTGGAAGTCTAGGCCTGTATTGAAAAGACTGAAGGAGCCTGAAATCAACAGTAATCAATGAAGAGCTAAACTGTGGTAAAGACAGAATGGGAACTTAGAAAAGAGCAAAGCACAGTTGACTATGGTAGTTGAGGAAGTCTTCCTATAATTGTAACATTCAGTTTTTTACTTCCACATGGGATATTTTTATTGGGAATCTAATGTAGATAAATAATCAACTAAGACCAGTACCAAGATTTTTGAAGGACTTCAGAAGTAAAATTGGACGACTAGATACTAGTCTTTCCAAGGAGCTCTGTGGGAAACATAGGAACTGTAATTAATGCATTTCACTGGCATTATAGGAGAACTGATGGAATCTGAGTAATGGTAAGATCACTGAATTATTAAAGCGATATTTTTTTGTAACTGTAGATATTAATCTCCAAACAAAATATAAAAGTCAGCCCAGCTATATTACTCACTAAGAAAAAAATAGCATTCTTTTTCTAAGACAAAATAGTTCCTGATTAAATTGCTGCATGACAGTTAGGTAAATAAATACATATGTGGTACAGGAACATCAAATGCGATTTATTAGGGATTCTGAAATGTCTTTTATAACGTTGTACAGTAACACTTTAGTCTTAATTGATCACAAAGCCTAATTAGAGTTTATATTATTGTACTTTGATTATATGATTAGAGTTTAGTGTGCTAGCATAGATGATTCAGTTGCACTGAATTTTATATATTTTTACATTAAAAAACTATTCTCCGTAAGTCTTTATTGAGAACTTGATCACAAGCATGACCCCCGCAAAAAACCATTGAACTGATTCAGTCACTATATGCTCTCCATTAATTTTTTGCCTTTACCAAAAAAGCAAATAATTAATTTCACTACCTTTCAGACATTGCCTTGTTTGGTTCGAATGTGCAGTAAGGAGAGATTACTAGAGGAGAGAGTTGAAGGAGCTGAGACACTCGCCTATCTGATTGAACCAGATGTTGAGCTACAGAGAATTGCTAGCATTACCGATCACCTCATTGCCATGCTTGCTGATTATTTCAAGTATCCCAGCTCAGTGAGTGCCATCACAGACATTAAAAGGGTATGTTTTCTTTTCCTTTTCAGCAGCTAAAGAAAGGGATTTGTAAAACTTTTACCTACTGTTCGTTCACTCCTTTGAACCAACTGATAATTATAGTTTAAAGCCCTTTTAAATAAAGGAATCTTTCACCTTTGGTAACATCAATAATGTTGCTTTATGAGTTTTTGAGTCCAGTTTGTTTCATATTTATTGTCAGAAAATTTTTATTAAGGAGATAATTAGGAAAGAAGAACATTGGATCCCCAATCCCCAAGTAAAACCTCAAAATAGTGGGATCTGGTCTCTAAACTGGTTACTGACATTGTATTAATATCCATGTCATACTGTTCAAGTTTCCAGAGTCACCTCTCTTGCATTGTTCTCATTCTTTAGGTCAAGGGTGATCTCTTATTAGGTGTGACTGAGTGGCCTTGTTTTACTCTTCACCACTGTCTTCCTCTTTTGCTGCCTCTTCTAACTTTTGCCATCTTCATCTCTTTCCTTTTTGCAGTTTCATACTGTCCTTTGGGTCTGCTAGTGACAGCTAAAGCATCATTTAATCTTTAGACTGAGACCATCAAGGACCAAATTGTGCTAACTTTTTCTAAAATACAAGTTCCTTAGGATAGGTAGATATTTCTTTGACTTTGTTTTTCTGAGCCTGTTTGTCATACCTGTTTCTCTAAGTAGAAGACATAAATATTATGTTAGAGAACATTTATTTAACAAGGTCATGGTAGATGAAGCATTGCCTCCTAATTAGTAACCAGTACTATTTCATGAATGTGACTGTATTTTTTATACCAGTGGTCCCAACGGTAAACTTTTAAGAACGATTTTCTTGACCTCTTCCATGCCCCTGAGTTCCAAAAAAATTCATGTGGCAGGTAACTATTCTTTTTGCATTTAATATTGAAAATAAAATAAACTATTAAGGATATATCTTTTCCCTGTCTCAGGAAGGGCCTGACATACCTTCACTGATATTTATATTAATGTATACTGCCCTCTGTGTATTAAAGTGGTGTGTGTGCTCATCCTTCAGTACAATTGTTTTCCCAGTAGAGTTGATTGGTGACATTGAACTATTTGTCTTGTCTGTTTACCCTCTGGTTACTTGCCCACACTTAGCATGTCTCACTGGTACAGAGATAACATGTGCAGGTCCTAACTGTGGCCTCATGAACAGCCTTAGTTGACCATCCCAGCAAGGCAAATAGGACACCTTGTTGGACATGAGAGTGAGGGAACATAATTATGAGGACTTCCAGCCCATGCACATGCAAATCATTTAACTAGTGTGTAGATTATCCCTTCTATTAAGGTTCTGCCATCTTATTTGCATTACAGTAAAACTAGAATAATAATTTTTTTAAATTATCTCCTTATGCCAAACTTGAATATTAGTTTGTTTTGTCATCTTTATTTTTGATGATGGATTATCTAGTGGTTTCTGACTGTGAAAGGATAAATAATTGACCCACAGAGAGAAATTCTTACATGCTAATAATGCATGATTTTCATGGTGTACCAGTCCAAGTCAATATTCTAATATCTGTTATGACTAGAAAGTAGTTAAACTGTTAAGAATAAGTATTTTAGGACTTACCCATCAAAATGAGTATTCCTCGTTATATATTGGGAGGTTCCTCCCATGATCTATCAATGAAGACTTTGAGCAGAATATTTTTGGAACTACTTTTAAGAATTTCCTTCAGAACTACCCTAAATGAGTTTCAGGGGTTTTATATATATATATATATATATTACTGATTATGCTATTACAATTGTCCCATTTCCCCCCTCTTTATTCCCCTCTGCCCTGCACACCCCCCTCCCACCAACATTCACCTTCCTTAGTTCATGTCCATGGGTCGTACATATAAGTTCTTTGGCTTCTCCATTTCCTATACTATTCTTAACCTCCCCGTCTATTTTGTACCTACCATTTGCGCTTCTTATTCCCTGTACCTTTTCCCCCATTCTTCCCATGTCCCCTCCCCTCTGATAACCCTCCATGTGATCTCCATTTCTGTGATTCTGTTCCAGTTCTAGTTCTTTGCTTACTTTGTTTTAGTTTTGGGTTTTTTGTTGTTGTTGTTGTTCAGTTGTTGATAGTTGTGAGTTTGTTGTCATTTTACTGTTCATATTTTTTATCTTGTTTTTCTTAGAAAAGTCGCTTTAACATTTCATATAATAAGGGCAGGGTGATGATGAACTCCTTTAACTTGACCTTATCTGAGAAGCACTTTATCTGCCCTTCCATTCTAAATGAAAGCTTTGCTGGATAGAATAATCTTGGATGTAGGTCCTTGCCTTTCATGACTTGGAATACTTCTTTCCAGCCCCTTCTTGCCTGTAAGGTTTCTTTTGAGAAATCAGCTGACAGTCTGATGGGAACTCCTTTGTAGATAACTCTCTCCTTTTCCCTTGCTGCTTTTAAGATTCTCTCCTTGTCTTTCATTTTGTGTGATGTAACTATGATGTACCTTGGTGTGTGCTTCCTTGGGTCTAACTTCTTTGGGTCTCTCTGAGCTTCCTGGACTACTTGGAAGTCTATTTCCTTTGCCAGAATGGGGGAGTTTTCCTTCAATATTTGTTCAAATAAGTTTTCAATTTCTTGCTCTTTTTCTTCTCCTTCTGGCACTCCTATGATTTGGAAAGTTTAAAGTTGTCCTGGAGGTTCCTAAGTCTCTTCTCATTTTTTTGAATTCCTGTTTCTTCATTCTGTCCTGGTTGACTATTTATTTCTTCCTTTTGTTCGAAACCGTCAATTTGAGTCCCGGGTTCCTTCCCTTCACTGTTGGTTCACTGTGCATCTTTCTTTATTTCACTTAGCATAGCCTGCACTTTTGCCTCTATTTTACAACCATACTCAACTATTTCTGTGAGTACCCTGATTACCAGTATTTTAAACTCTGCATCTAATAAGGTTGGCTATCTCTTCACTTAGTTGTATTTTTTCTGGAGCTTTGATCTCTTCTTTCATTTGGGCCATACTTTTTTTCTCAGTGCACCTGCTATGTAGTAAGGAATGGAACTTTAGGTATTCTCCAGGGCGGGACAACCCACCCTGCTGCATTGTGGTACCCTATGTGGGGGAGGGTTCCAAGAGATAACAATGCTGCTTGTTCAGCTCTCACTGGCTTTCAGTCACTTCCCCTGCTACCCACAAGCAAATTGGGCCCTTCTGATGCTGATTCCCATGTGAGTGGGTTTGTGTACATTCCAGGACTCTGTGGGTCTCTCCAACAAACTGTCCTGTGAGGCTGGGAGGTCCTCCCTCCACCACAGCCCCCACAGGTGTTTTGAATTGGAGGCTTGAAGGCTTTATTTTCCTGCACTGGAACCCTGGGCTGTGTGGTCTGTCTCACTGCCCAGTTGTTGTTCCTGCCGGTTTATCCTGCTGGTTTATCACACAAATGTGGGGTCACCCAGCCTGCCAGCTGCCTTGTGGTGAGTCCTCTCCACCCCAGCTGCCTGTCTCCACCCCTCCTACTGGTCTGGATGAATGTTTCTTTAACTCCTTGCTTGTTGGACTTCCTTAGAGTTTGATTTTCTGGCAATTATAGGTGGCTTTTTGTTTTTAAATTATTTGTTGTCCTCCTTTTGGTTGTGCAAAGAGGTGCAGTGTATCTACCTACACCTCCATCTTGGCCAGAAGTCCCCTCGAGTTTCAGGATTGTTTTGTTTTCTTTTGTTTGTTACTGTAAATGTCACCCAACTGGATTTCCCCATCTTTATACACCACAATCAGTGACAGTTAACTTCAAACTCTCTATATGTTATTTATAGTCAGGGGTTTGTAGCTAATATGACAGTTAGCTCTTAAAGAGGTTTTAAAAGAGGGTTTTAGAATGTTTCAATAATACATGCATGTCTTTTCATAAGGGTGAGCCTCTTGAAGGCAAATTATTTGAAGAAAGTGGTACTCAGTTGGAGGAAGTTATATCTCTTAGTTATAAAATTCTTTACCTTATTAATATGCCTTGTATAGGTACTGGTTCTTAGTCACTAAAATTGTCCTAGGAAGATGTTTCTATTTTCTTACTAGTGATAGTTTGGTGATAAATCAGGTGTAGGGAAAATTGATACCTTAGAAGTCAATTATACATATGGAAAGATAGCATTAATTGTATCATTTCAGTAAGTAATTTTAATAAATCTATCAAAACAAAGTCCCCTGAACATAAATCACAGATAACTATAATAGATAGTAATGATTACCATGATACATTGTTTATTAAGGATTTTCACAAAAGTTTTTCCTGTTTCTAAAAGTTATTTATATACTGAAATTTAGGTTGGCACTGCTCTTAATGTTTGGGAAACCTGCTTAAGACACTGTTGCAGCAGCAGCCAAGCTGTCAGCTATATTCTGGGGCTAGCACAGCCTGGGCGTGTCTTATTTTTGAGGAGGACATTTCAAAGAACCAGTGCAAGCAAGCATTAGTGCCACAAAAGCTACCACGTAGGATCACTGGATTTTTATGGCTCAGGGGTTCACAAAAGTTTTGCATATACTAGTGTCAAATATTGTGGCATTCACTTTTAGACAGAAGCGCGTGTATTCCAGATCATGCTGACACAAACACAGCTAGGTCTCAGTCATGTGAACAGAACCCAAAAATAATCAGGAATTCAGTGAGAACACTAGTATGTCAATAGATGTTAAACTTTTTTTTTTCAACTCTGCTCTATTGGTTTTATTGAAAATTTAATTTGTGGACTAATTTGGAACATATCTTTTTCTCCCCTCCCATAGCTTGATCATGACTTAAAACATGCTCATGAACTCCGCCAGGCTGCATTCAAGCTCTATGCCTCTCTCGGAGCAAATGATGAAGACATCCGGAAGAAGGTGAGTCTGGGAGAGGGGCGTCCCCCAGTCCTGACAGCCAGCAGGCAGGGAGTGACGTCAACCTGAAAGTCGTGGTGAAGAGCACTAACAGTGACTGTTTGAATATAATAAAGCAGAGTGACTAAAGGCATAATTGAAGAATGAATGGGACCCGGATTTGGGGGGTTGTTTGTTTGTTTGTTTGTTTTTAGAACATAGAGTGGCATGGCCGTGCTGGAATGACAAATAACTGGTGTGCTTTTTTGTGTCATTAATATGGATTATTGTGTTGCACCTTTTTGCATGTGTTCTGATAAAAATCAATTCTAGCACTGTGAAGCTTCAGACACCTTGAAAGACCTAACACTAGAATTGTAAATGTTATTTATGGAATACTTTCCAATACCATTGAGAAATTTAAATCTATTGTATATTGTTCTTTGATATGTGGCTTAGTTATGTTTTGATTTTTTTGCTACTGTGCAAGTTTGATGTGAATAAAATCTTTGTGGAATGATGATTTTATGTTTAGTGAGTGGTCATGTGAATTTCTAGGTCCCAAAAAAATGTATCACTGGTATAGCACCTTATGTTATTACAGCCTAGTCCTACACTGAACTCATGTTCTTGATGAGAATAGTTTTAAGCAAAAAATAAAGTATAGTGGTAAGCTGTGACTTGGCTCCCTCCTCAAACCAAAAGACTGAATCTACCACTCAAAAATATATATATAATCTAATAAATTTAACACAAGGCTTTTAGGAACTACCACTAAAGTAATCCCACATGTTCTGTCTTGATGAGCCATAGAAGAAGAATAAATTGGGCATTTTTTACCGAACATGGCATTTACTAAATTTTTCCATCTGGATTGATATTTGTAAGAGAAATCATAAAGTATTGGGAATTTACCATGATTCAGAGAAGTTCTCAGGCTTGTAGAAACCTATGGAACAACCACAGGTTTAATGAAATAAATTGAAAAGGACCCATTCTTGAAGAAAATTGAAATAAACAGTGAAGTTAGATATGTGAATAGCTTTGATTTAAAATTAGTGCAAAAAACAACTATGCTGAATATTTTTCATGTACCTCAATTTAGTTCAGTTAACAAGATATTTTTGACTTGAAGTGTTCTTTAGTAAATATCAATGAAAATCCTTCTTGACACCTCTAAGCTTTCATGTGTAAACTGTTACTTAAAGGCAAACATACTAGTCATATGGTATTCCCTATGTCTGACAAACATGATTTCTGGATGTTGATTCTGATATGTTTCATTCAGTTTAGGTACATGGTATATTGCAAAGGAAGAGGCTTTTATGGCAACTCATATAAAACATTTTGAAAAATTGACATGGACTGTATAACATATACATAATGATTTGTTTTTGGATGGTTATTAGGGCTCGTTAGAAAGAGGAGAAGTGTTTTACCCATTCTTTAGCTCAAGAAGGTCATGCCATGGACTAAAAGGGAGATAGACAGATGGACCATAATGGGGGGCTGGGGAGAATAGGATGTCCATTGTACTTCTTTGTACTTTTTTGTTAATAAACTGTTGTTTTGGAATTAATGACTTAATCTGTGATATCATGTTCTAGAAATACAGCACAACAGTCTGATAATCAGTAGTCTATTAAAAGTTGTATTTATAATGTGTATAATTTCCTGGTAAGTCTAAATCCTGATTAATTTCTGTAGAAAGATGATAAATAAAGAATAAGTTATAATTATAATTTTTTGTGTGATGAAGAAAAGATACTGTGATTTTTATATAATGGGATTACATAGACTTTTTAGGAAGATATTTAATTTCTGGAAAATTAAGTGTTTGAATAATTTATAGTTCATAACAATTACTGAAGAGAGAAATTGTAAAATGGAAAATATAAATAATTTTGCGATAAAATCTACATGAAAATGTTCTTAGGAGTGGAGAATCCTTATTTTCAATGCATAAAAAATGATAACCCTTTTCCTTTGAATGCCTTTATTTCTATTCCATTTTTTGTTAACATAATTATTTGGATAGGTTTTTATTTACCTTTACCTTTTATACTTATACCTTATTAACTTTGATTATATTTATTTTATTGGAGTTCAGTGTGTATTATTGTTTTATCTTTTAATACAATTTTTATGCATGTTAAGATAGAATTTCAGTTCACTGAGTTAATGAATGGAGAGTCTCTGAAAGAGATTTCAAGGGCTGTAGACCCATCCACTGGCCCCACCCACAAAACTAAAAAGCTACAAAAATACTTAATGGCAGGATAAAAATATGAAATGTTCAGTTGATCTGCCTTTTAAACTGAAAATGGGACTGTAATTCAGTAAATACAGGAAGTAACATATATTCCATTGCCCTGTTATGATCAGTTCAGGAAATGAGGCAGAATGAAGAAGAAAAAACTAAAGCTAAGAGGTAGAGATGATGAGAACTAGACACAGCTGTAAAGGAGAAAGATACAGGTCTTCCCTCTTTGTAGAATTGTGTCTCTATCTTACTGCTTCTAAAGACCTCTAAAGGCCTGCTGTGATTTCATTTCTCAACACCTTTCTGGGCCAGACAAAATTAAGCTGAAGACTGAGGTATGATCTATAGGTCAGAGATGACAATCTGGCTCTGGAGCAGTGTTAGTGTATTCCCATTAAAAGATATCAAGTGTATAATAATTCCTGGAACCTAATAAGCACCCAGTAAATATTTGTTGAATGAATATAGAAATGAAAATGTAGAACTCATACACAGAGTGACATTCCTTCAATATGCCTGGATCTCTGTGTATCCTGTACAGAGCAAAGTTGGCATTCTATTTTCTAGCTTTATATCCTTCATTGCTCTGTGGCATAGTTACAGATTTCCTGACTTCCTGTGGCATCCTGTCAGAGAGTGAAGGAGGGTGAGGAGTTCTGCAGGTGAGAATAGAAAACATTACCATTGCCTGTGCTGTGAAGAGGCAGAAGCCCAAGAAAAGATGGACCACTGAGCTTGACAATAGATGTGGCCTGGCCATATTCAAATTAGAATAATTCAAGAATTTTGGTTAAGGTAAGCAAGGGTGGAGGCAGAAATGGAGAGATCAGTGGAAGAAGGGCCCAGAGCACATTAGCACATTAGTAACTATACTGCCAGCAATGCAAGCTAAAAATTCACTGTGATCTCTGCCATGGGGAAAGTCTAGTTTCGTTTTTAATAGCTTTTACCACATATTAATGCTGACTAGGAAGCATAAGCTCAGTTAATAGGACAGTGAAAAAGAAGTTAAGGTACCTTACAAATTATTTCAAGTACTGGCATTTCAGTGAAAACCCCAGTCAGTGGTTAAGTCATGCAGAGGTAGTGGTGGCAGACGGTCCTGTAATTGTGAAGCTGATTCTCTTATAACAGAAAACTGCTCTTGTAAAGAGCATCACTTGGTTGGTACCTGTTGATTATAAAAGAGGCTGGAAATTTCAAAGGCTTGTCTCTCTTTACTCTCTTTAAGAAACTAGTGGAATTTCTTAGAAAGTATAATTTGAGGAACATCAGAAATAGTAAATATAAATTAAAGGAACAGGGTGTTATTTTTATTTTTGATAAAAAAATATACATTACAAATCTTAAATGTAGTACTTAGTGTAGCCTTTGCTCCTTTGAGGTATCTGACTAATGGAGCCTTTCAGGAAGCTTTCCTCTTAGATTTTGAGTACTTAATAGTATAGCTGGAGATCCCTTTTGAGGGACTAGGCTGTAAGTTCGATGAGGACAGGGGTTTTTTATGTTTTGTTCATCACTGTATTCTCAGCATCTATAATACTGTCAGGTGCATAGTCAGCACTTAATTACATTATTAAACACCCTTAAGTTGTAGATAGGCTTCCTTACATTAAGAACTTTTACCATTTTACTAGCAGTTCTATGGGTATGTAAAGAGAGAAAATTTAAAATAGGGAAAATAAAATCTGATCATATAGGCAGGGGGTTTCACTACACTTAGCAAATGAAAATGCAGGAAATTCCCATTTTTCAAGAGGCAGAAAATCCCAAGGACATGTCTTCTCACTTTGATATAGATAAAAGAGAACATGTTTTATGGTATGATACTTGTTTAATTTTGAAATAATTTTTATAATTTAGTTTTTTTTTTCTTTCTAAATGTGTCATTTTAAAATAATGTATATTACTCACAAGTGTGAATCTGGACCCATTCATTTTCTAGGGCTAAAAGTATGATTTGGTTTGTAGAAATTAACCTGGCTCAGGAAATCAACCCATTCTGTAAAATACACCTGTATAAAATAATTATCTTCCCAATTAATGAATGTCAGATTTTTAAGGTCAGTAATTTAATTCAATTCTACATAGATTGACTGAAATGCCTACATTGTATAGGCATTTTCACAACAATATCTGATGGGAGGAGGGAAGAGAGAAAGCAGTGCGTTGAGATGAAGAACAATAAGACACAGCCTTAAAACTCAGCATTTATAATAAAACCTGTAAGTCAGAGAAGAGTAAGGAATGGCCAGTAAGAATTTGCTAGGGGCTGACGGAATTATTGGAAACAGTTAAAATGGACATGGTGATATCAGTGGGACTATCCTTGAATCAATAATTTATAATTAATATTTTTGTCATTTTTAATGTTTTCTAACTGCCATTTATTTTATATTTTCAAGAATTGAAAACATAAAAATTTAAGTTTTGTTCCTTGCGGGGGATCATCCAATCACACTGTTTTTATATGACATGTCAAGAAGGTAGCCAAGGATGGATATTCTTTTCCTTTTAAACTGAGTAGTTTTTAAAATAAGTATAGGCAGAGAAAAAATAGAAGGAAAAAAAAACCAAGAATGATAATTAGTCTTCTACCTGCAGAAGTTATATCTGCAGGGTCACTGTGAGGATAACGATACAGTGTATTTAAAATACTTAGCATGGTGCCTGTGAGCACTTAATAAATGGAAGCATTTTTTAGAATATCTTAAATGACTCCATTGGAAAATTTAAAATAAATTATATATTTAAAGTCTGT